GAGTGATAGGTCGTACAGCGAAACGTTTAAGAGGAACAAAAAACGGATAGAGGAAATGGACCTGCTACCCTTAGAAGGTGAAGTTACGGAGAAAGTAAACGAGGATTTAACAATGGCTGAGCTGGATATAGCGATAAACCAATTAAAGGATAAAGCTCCGGGTCATGATGGGATCCCAAACGCTTTAATAAAAAATTTAGATAAAAAAGCGAGATCACATCTGCTTGAGCTATTTAATCTGGCGAGCAGGAGTGTACCCGGACAGCTGGAAAAAAGCCATTGTCGTACCGATCCCAAAAAAAGGCAAAGATCCTAGTGTCCCCAGAAGTTACAGGCCGATCTCCCTTACGACAAGTCTGGGTAAGGCGATAGAAGCCATGGTTAACCGGCGGCTTGTGTGGTACCTAGAATCCAGAAAACTATACAGTTTATACCAAACTGGATTCCGGAGGGTCCACACAGCCGTCGACCAGGCAGCCCTTTTCGAGAGCCACATTCAAAACGCGTTTTTAAAACGGCAACACTGTGTGGCAGTATTTTTTGATCTCGAGAAGGCCTATGACGTGGAGATCGGCATAATAAAGAAATGTCATGATTAGGGGTTAAGGGGGAATTTGCTAAAGTTTATTGTTCATTTCTTAAATAGCAGAAAATTTTATGTAAGATTAGGAATGAACAATCAACCGAACACATTCAGGAAAATGGAATCCCCCAGGGATCGGTACTCTCTGTAACTTTGTTTGTGATAGCCATAAATAACATTGCAGATAATCTGGATGCATCCAGTTTTAAGTCACTGTACGTGGATGACTTAACAATATTTATGGCACATGAAGATGCAGACGAAATTGAAAGAAAAATGCAAAACGCAATAGATGCTGTCGCCAGGAATGCCGAGGCATGTGGGTTCACATTCTCGAGGGATAAAAGCAAAGGAGTCTATTTCTGCAGATTGAGGAAGGACCATAATCACCCTCCTCTCAAAATGAATGGACTGGCCCTGGAGTACGTGACATCAATTAAATACCTCGGCCTCACCTTTGATTCTAAACTTAGGTGGCAGCCGCACGTTGACAATACGCTATCCCAAACCAAGCAGGTCCTAAGTCTAATGAAATTCTTAAATAACTTCAAATGGGGAGCATCGAAAGAAGTATTGCTTCAGATCTTCAAGTCATTGCTGTGTACGAAACTGTATTACGGATGTATGGTGTATTCCTCAGCGAGGAAAACCACTGTATGAAAATGGAGTTGGCCTTGAGCTTGCATCGAAGCAGGACGTTCTTTTCATCTTCTCTTCAATAAACTCGAGATTCATAATAATATCTCGTGAATTGTGTCGCGCTTTTTTGGTAATCCGTTGGTTCCCTGTCTATCTTAGTAGTAGTGGCAGTGGTGGCTCTAAAAGTGCTGACAATTAGTGTTAAATTGGAGTTTTATGCCCCTATAAAACGACAAGGAAGTGTATTGGGACCCAAGAGATAAGACCGGATTTGTCGGTAAGCCGATTAACCACAATATTTACCTCCTCCGTAGCATTTCCGCTGGCGCCTGGGCAACATCAATAAACATCTTAATATCGTTATCTAGCTATCAATTATACCCCGCTTTGATAAGAAATTTCTTCTATTTTGTGCCCATTGTCACCCAATTTTGACTTATATATGCCTCCCAAAATCGACAACTATTTTGCGCCAAAGTCTTCCACTTCTCCGCAATCAATTAGTGGTAAAAGGTGTAGAAATTCTCCTGAACAGACAAAGCAGGGCTTCAAACGAGTCAATTCAGTCCCGAGAACTATTATGTCTTCTTCTAACAGCCTTGTGGAACAAGAAATTGGCTCCATGTCTAAATCGGAGCTGATGAAGGCTATGTCTGATCTTATGACCCAGTTGCTGGACAGCAAATTTAAATCTGTTGCATCAAAGGATGACATCAATAATTTTCGCAAAGACTTCGAAGAACTTCGGTTGGAAAATCATCGTCTGAGTGAGGAAGTAGCTGTCCTTAAAGAGGCCTTCTCAAAACATGAAACCCAGCTGGAGGTGCTGGATCGAAAAGCTAGGCGAGGCAATGTTGTTATAAGAGGGTTGAAATGTCAGCCTGAGGCTGATCCTTCCAAGGCGGCTTCGGGCTTTTTTCATCAAGTGCTTGGAATCGAAGTTGGTTTAAATGAACTGTCAGCTCTACTGTTGGGTAAAAAGGGTGTCCAGTTAGTGTCTTTTGTTCGCCCTCAAACAAAATCTGAGGTGCTTCGACAAGCGAAGAAACTCAAAGGCACCGGCTATTCTATTCAGCATGATCTCCGGAGAGCATTAGAAGGAGAAGATCTAAACTCTTGGAGTTAAGAAGAGAGATAATTCGATTAAATGGGCGCTGGAAAATCATTGTTTCTACGGATTACCTCTTCATAGACAACCATCGTTTCCAGTGGTGCATGCAGCAGGGCTTGAGATACGGTAACGCAGATGGATCCATTAAATTAAATGAACTGTTGGGACTTGATTTTTCTACTGTTGTCGCTCGGATGCTTTCTGGATCTCAACCCTCACCTCGGGCAACAACGGACAGAGCGTATCTTCAATGAGAATTATCTGTCTGCCGGCAAGAGAATTCTGATGATAAAGTAAAAGACACTAAATTAAGTTTAATTTCCTTTAATGTGAATGGTCTTCAATCAAAAATTAATAATACCTTGTTTTTAAGTTTTATAAAGAATTTTGATATTATTTTTCTACTTTAAACATTTATTACAGAGAAAAATTTTAGTTACTATTCTGTTTACTTTCCTGAATTTACATTATGTTGGACTCCGGCTATAAAAACATCTACTTTTGGGCGTGCAAAGGGTGGCACTTTGCTGGCAATCAGAAAATGTTTTTGTAATTTAGCCAGGTTTGTTAAATTTCCTCAGATAAATACGATTTCTCTAAAAACGCCAGACTGCGTGGTGTTCCTTGTACCGATCTATTTCAATCAAGCTACCCGGGACCTGGATTTCAGTATTGTTTTGAAACTTATAGAAGAGAATCCTAATCTACATTTCGTACTAGTAGGTGATTTTAACGCAAGAATTGGTACCTTGCAAGCTCTTCCGGAAGATCTTCTATTGATAAATAACAAATGTAACCTGCTTAGGAATTCAAAGGACGCCAAGGTGAATCATTTCGGTAGGAAGTTGCTCGAACTTTGCGAGGATCATAACTTTATTATACTTAATGGTAGAGTACCCTCGGATGCATTGGGTGAGTATACTTTTATTGGTGATTCGGGCTCTTCGGTTATTGACATTTTTTGTGTACCCTTTGAAAATATTTCCCTGTTTGACCATTTTCGTGTTGTTCCAGTGAACTTTTCGGATCATCTCCCTCTATCTTTTAATATACTCTGTGCACACTCTTCAAATGTTCCAACTCTTCCCCCCCTTTCTAGACTAAAGTGGCAGGAAAATTTTTCACAAATTTATAAGTGCAAGCTACAAATATTATCTAGTAATTTGGCGCTGGTCCCTTTCGATACCACTCAAAATATGCTAACTCCCTGACTGGTCTAATGAAAGAGGCTTTTTCAGGTTGTAGTGTGGGCAATCGTCCTGTGTTAGAAAGAAAAAATGCCTGGTTTGACTTTGAATGTTTGCGGATGCGCAATAAAGTATTAGCCTTACTAAACCTCTTCCGTAGTACAAACTCAAGCATTATTAGAAGAAATTATCTTTTTGCTAATAAAAAATATAAAACACTCTGTGTTAACAAAAGAAAACAATTTTTTGCCTTGGTTGTTGATCGGTTCTCTCTCACAAGGGATGCTAGCGAGTTTTGGAGATTGGTCAACTTATACAAAAGCAAGAATTTTATTTGTGGCTCAGATATTACATTAGATTCCTGGGTTTCTCATTTCGGCGCCTTACTTAACCCGCCCCTGAAGACATCAATTTCCTTTGCTGAACCCCTGATTTGGAATGAGGCGCTAGATGCCTCCTTCACATTCGCGGAATTAAAAGCGGTACTGGTTAGCCTCAAGTCGAACAAAACCCCAGGTCTTGACTCGATTCCCTACGAATTTTACCAAAATGCTCCAGACTGTTTTTTAGAACGCCTCCTTTCCTTGTTTAATTTTATTTATGAGTCAGGTGTTGTTCCTCCTTCTTTTGGTAGGTCAATTATATTTCCTCTCTTTAAGAATGGGGATGTGGACATTCCATCTAACTATAGAGGAATTTCTTGCTTAGACGCAGTTTCAAAGATATTTTCGGGAATGCTCCTGAGGCGACTGGAATATTTTGTGTCTTCTAACAATCTTCTAAGTGAATTTCAGGTAGGCTTCCGTAAGGGCTTCTCCACTTCTGACAATTTATTCATTCTTCATAATCTTGTTAATTTGTCCTTTTCAAAACTAAAGAAGTTGTACTGTTTCTTTGTCGATTTCAGGGCGGCTTTCGATTGTGTTGATAGAAGAGCCCTCTTTCTGAAACTCGGTAATTTGGGAGTATCTAGTCAGTTTATAAGGGTCGTGAAGGCAATTTTCTCACAGACTAAGAGTGCGGTCAGGGGGTCAGGAGGTATTTCCGAATTTTTTGAGGTATCTTGTGGTGTGAGACAAGGATGTGTCCTAAGCCCTTTACTCTTTTCCTTATTCTTGGATGATCTCCCGTCTAGCTTGGATTTTGGAGTCCATGTTAGTGGTACAATTATTAAGATTTTGATGTATGCTGACGATGTAGTCTTGATAACAGATAGTACTACTGGGTTGCAGAAAAATATTAGTCTCCTGGAATCATACTGTGATCAATGGAATCTCACTGTCAACCTGGCTAAATCAAAGATAATGGTGTTTAGAAGAGGAGGCAGGCCTGCCAAGGCCGAGCGTTGGTTTATCCAGGGTGAGAGGGTTGATGTGGTTAACCAATATAAATATCTTGGAGTTGTCCTAACTTCCAGACTATCTTTTACCCCTCATCTAAACTCCAAAGCTTCAGTGGCGAAGGTGGCTTTGAATAGAACATGGTGTTACTTTTTGGCCCAGAATCTAATCCCGGTTTACTCAAAGTACGAGGTATTTAATGCAGTGTGCCGTTCTATTATGTGTTATGCAGGCCAGGTGTGGGGGTTCCAGGATTATGAAGTGATAGAAAGAGTGCAACGTTTTTTTATTAGGAAGATCTTCTCACTGCCTAATTCTACTCCAAACTATATGCTTTATATGGAGACGGCAGTAGACAAAATTTTCCTTTTTACGCTTTCCCTGCATTTTTCATTTGTTTTAAGGGTACTTAAGGGCCCTGTTGCCCGAATCTCCAAAATTACTGCTCTCGAGGTTATAAAATCTAATTGTTCTTGGTTTCGACAATGGAATACTTTAGCTTCTCAATATGGTTGCGATTTTTCTTTTTGTTTAGAAAACCTCTCTAGTTGGCCCAATTATACCATGAAACTTTTGTGCAGACTACGTGATCAACATCGTGTGAGTTGTGAGCATCGGGCTCAGGTTTCCAACAGGTATCTTCTCTTTAAGGCCCTAGACTACTATAAGGAAACCTTTAACTTAAACGTTCAAGATAGTGGGCCTATAAAACTTCCGACTCTTCGATGGCTTCTAAAACTCAGATGCGAGCAAGTGTTCCTCAATTCTGTGCCATGGAAGGAAGACGTCGGAAATTTCTTGTGCACGCTCTGTAACCTAAGAGTTAGGGAAGATATGTTTCATTTTGTTGCCCAGTGTCCCATACTGTCTGAACTCCGTATCCTGTATCTAGGCTATAAATCGCTTTCCAGGTCTCAGCTGCTTGATCTGTTAAATATCGTGGATATGGAGAGGTCGAAATGTCTAGCACACTATGCACGTCATGCCTGGCAATATAGGTACGATTATAATACCGAGTCATAATTGTTTAACTTGTATCTAAAATCAGCTAGTTTTTATAATTTAGTTTTTACTTATAGTTTTCTAATATTACCATTATTATATAGTTTATTTTATTTTTATTTTTCGCTCGCCTTAAAAAAAAAAAAAAAAAAAAACCAACTTCCGGCAGACGGATAAGCATCCATGCTGTAAAACGCTTTTAATATTGTATATTATGTAACACTTCTCTTTAATGTAAATAAAGCATGTTATCTATCTATCTATATATCTATCTATCTATCACTGTATGAAAATTGGACAATGTATATGTCGCAGGATTAAGACTGGTTACAGGAGCTTTCCGGACTAGCCCAGTAAGTAGTATATGCACAGAAACCGGGGTGTTACCTCACGGCGAAAAAAGAATTCAGTTAATACTGAACTACTGTGCCAATATCTGGGCAAGAAAAGAGCACTTTTTATATAAAGTGCTGTACGATCCAGCCTGCGAGGAGGAATACATCATGCTAAGAACCGTACTAGGCCATCAGGATGAAGGAGATACTGGCCTGCAGGAGAGTACAATTCCTAAAGTTAAGGAAATCAAAGAATCCAAGAAGGAACCTTGGATGCTCTCCTCAATTCCTATACGGGTAGATATGGCGGAATTGAAGAAAGAGACCCCCCCCCCATATGTATTCAAAGCTAAATTCCTGGCCCTCAAAGAGGAATACAGTGAAGGAACCTTCATTTATACAGACGGTTCGAGGGTCAGTGAGGGGGTCGGCAGCGCAGTATGCTGGGAAAAATACGCTAAAACAATTCCTCTCCCAAAGGCTGCAAGTATCTTTACCGCAGAGTTGACCGCCATATCATCCGCGCTGAGTGAAACTGAACACATTGGGTGCAACCAATATGTCATATGCACCGACTCACTCAGTGTGGTCTTAGCCATCCGTAATATCTTCACCATGGACCCACTAATCCAGGCGATACAAGAGAAAATCAGACAAATGCACGAACAAAGAAAAGAGGTAGTTATTGCCTGGATACCGGGCCATGTAGGCATAGAAGGTAATGAAAATGCCGATCAAGCTGCCAAAGGAGCAGCGATAATGCCACATGACCCGGAAACTCCCGTGAGCCCAGCGGACGTCAAAAAATATATGAAGAACCTTTGTTGGAAAGATTGGCAGAACCGCTGGAACAAAATGACCGACAAATTAAAAGAACTAAAACAGTCGGTCAAACCGTGGGCCATGGATAGTATGAGCAAAACAGAGAGAATAATGTTGACCCGACTGCGAATAGGCCACACTAGACTGACGCATGGTCATCTCTTGTCGAGAAAAAGTCCACGAAGATGCCCTTGTGCGGCACACAAATAACTGTTAAGAATTTAATAACCGATTCGAACTATTGGCGCCGCACAGAACAAAGTGTGGCCTTTCCACGAGTTTGAAAGAGGTTTTACAACACAGCAATGACAACAGCAAGAAAGTAATCGAATATCTGAAGCAAATAAATGCATACGGTCGCCTTTAATGCTTCTCCACACGTGGTTTCCTTTTCCCTTCCTGAAGTGAGTGTATTTATTGGCGAGAATGTGTAAGTGTATGGGTGACTAGTGATCGGAATATCGAGAACACCACAGACCAACCAAACTAGGATATATATCTCTTTGTGTGTTTTGGGTAGAATGAATGTATTTAGTGGCAGTGAGTGTGTATGGGTGGGTTGTGCAGGAATATCGAGTACTCCACAGACCCACCGATTTAGGTTAGTATTAGGGTATAATATCTTTTAGAGTGAATGGGCGGAGGCTCTGTTATAATGTTAAATGCGCTAGTAGCTCCGAATTTTTTTACTTGTAAATACAGAATGATTGGTTACTGTTTGAGTGAATGTATTTATTAGTGCGATAGTAGTGTATGCATGGGTGGGTCTATGGTGGAATATCAAGTACCCCATAAACCCACCAACCTAGGTTAATAGTTTAGATTAATTGTAATTTTAATTGTACATAATGTATGGATGTATTTATATGCGTGAACGAGGGCGGGTCTTCAGAGGAATATCGAGTACTCTGAAACCCGCATATAGGCTAGGCTCGGTTTGAATGTTAGTGAATGAGATAGTTTCAGAGCCTTTTCACCACGTGTGGGAGTGCTAAAAATGTAGAAATAACGTCCCAGAACACAACCAGAAAGATCGCCAGACTTCTTACAGAAAAGCTAACTTAAAAAAAATAAATAAAATAAATAAATAAATTTTTAAAAGAGTACAACGAAAAAATTATCAACGACACAAACACATACAGACAATCAAATCAGACCCTACCCCTTCTCTCATCAAACATAAACAACATAAATTTCCCTACATACAACATGACAAAATACCTAACCAACATACTCAACACCATATAACGTAAAAGGTTCATTTCATTTCATAAACAAAATTAATTCACATACACTATTCTCTCATATCCCTAGATGTTTCATCATTGTTCACCAACATTCCAACAGACACAACACTGAACAATATTAAAGATAAATGGCCCAACATAACACCACACACAAGTCTATCAAAAAACTCGTTCATAACAATGGTTCGTCACTGCTGCATTAACGGATATACATATAACAATCAATTTTACAAACGACTATTTGGCATAGTCATGGGTAGCAACCTAAGCCCGACACTTGCAGACATAATTATGATACATCTCTTAAACGCAGTTATACCACAACTTCCTTTCACTAAATACGTAGATGATATATTGACAGCAGTTCACACAGATCAAATTCAAACTACATTAGATACATTTAATAGCTTTCACTCACGCCTACAATTTACATATGAAATCGAAAATAACAAAACAATACCATTTTCAGATACACTCGTAATAAAACAACGAGATGCACATTAATCACAGATTGGTAACAAAAACCAAAAAACACAGAGCGCTACCTGAACTTTACATCTCACCATCCTCTTCATACAATAATAAACACGGCCAAAGGGCTACTTCACAGAATTATTACCCTAAGCCATAAATCATTTCACCACAAGAACATAAAGATATACAAACAGACCCTCCATAACAATCACTACCCTAAACACATAATCAACAGAATAATCAACAACTACAACTCTACACTAACACCATCCACTATTACTAATAATACTACATCAAATCTATCAAATACAGTCAGACCAACATACATTTCAATGCCATTCATTCAAGGCCTATCATATAAATTAAACACGTTTATCTCTTCTGAAAACTTTAAAATAGCTTTCAAAAATTATAAAACAATTCACACTCTTTTTTCCAAAATTAAAGATCCCATACCAGTAACAAATAAATCTGACGTAATTTACAAAATCAATTGTTTAAATTGTCAGGCAACATACAACGGTATTATATCCCAATATCTGGATAAGAGAGTAAAGCAACTTATCTGTGATTGCAAAACACCCAAACAAAATCCTACAGCACTGGCTACTCACCAGTTTGATCACCAACACAATTTCGACTTCAACAATCAAAAAATATTACACACAGAACAAAACAAACACAAACGTAACTTTTTAGAAATGGCTTACATCAACACAGCATCAATTACAGATCAGTCACATGTAAACCAGGCGCAGCTACGCTAATTTCATCATCAGATCACACAAAACATAATAAAACATATAAAACAATCATTACATTCCACACATCAAACATCTCTAATTCTTCAAAAATTTGGATTTCCTTTCACTAATTATCCCCTTCTCTATAATCCGGAAGAGATAATCAGGCCGAACTATTATCCATTTTTTCCTATTGTTGGCTCTGTCGGCTCCTTTCACCTCAATCCTACACATCCTACATAATTGTAAAATTTAAACAATGATTATACATCCCAGACCCTGAAGATGATCTCAATAAAGATCGAAACGTTGGCACGATAAAGATAATGTTTTTCTAAAACCTACGTCACACCAGACCGAATCTCACGACCTCCAAATAATCATTAATATAACAGGCAAGTCTTTTTTAAATATATGTTATAGATCATTTTTTCTGAAGATATGAGGTTTATCATATGGTGTTATGAATAGTGAAGTGGATAGCACAACTTTTTTTTAATACTTTTTATTACGGCCATTAGTTTAAACTTACACAACTTAAAACCGTACTTTCTTACCTTTCACTTTTTTGCATTATATGTCCCAGTCTAGATCTGTTTATGCAGTGTTCAAAAATTATCCACCTGATTCAAATATGGTGCGAAGAAAGTTTAAACGTCTGCGGCGAAAAAAGCCCACTTTCCCAAATCAGCCATGGAGAGAAGAAGAAACGCCGACCCTTCCGAAAGCATTCACTGACGTACTGAATTAAATAGAAATATAGAATCAAACGAAGACGGTTTTACAGGCACAGATTCGAAAGTGCAGACACCATGACGCTCAATTCTTATCTTTAAAATTAAATAATTGCTCAAGAGTAATTCCCTTGTCTCTTTACCCCTTTTGTAAGAATAAAAATTAAAACGATTAATTTATATTTCTCTAAAAGAGACGAGTGAAATTATTTATGAAATTATTTATTATTGAAAATAACACTTTTGAACATTAAAGATACTTCAACGTTATCATAAACACAATAAAACAAAACTCATTTCATCACTGAAATTAACAGTTTAATAAAAGCAATATAATTTTAATTTGAATTTGTTAAAAGAGTGCGGCAAAAATAGAACAATCCACGAATACATTATTTCAGAGTTATTAACATTCTTAACCCGTTTCCTTTTAATAATTCAAATGTGATAGCCATCTCGTAAAATAAAAGATGATGGCGTTGTGAACTGTGTGTAAAACGTTTTTTATGAGACAACCTAGTGTTGTCTAGGGGCCATTCTCAGCCACTATGTTGAATATTAAATTTTCAGGTTTGACAACCTCTAGTATCGAAATATTGCGATAATGTTTATGACATGCTTTGTTTGTTTTCACTAAAACTTTGTTCGGCCTGTTTTTTTGGGTGTTATTTTATAATACAAATTTTACAAATTGGAGTTAGAACCATTGAATTGTAATAATAGCTTTTTCCTATTCTATTCTCTATCAAAGCTTAAATTATTTTAGAAAGAGAAATGAAAAATATTTAAATGTTTATAAGATTTAAAATTTATTCTTCCTTTAATTCTTAATAATTATTCTCTATATAAAAACAAAAAGCAGATAACGATTTTGTCATAGAAATGTAACTTCTGAATAAAATGTCCAAGATTGGTATATAATAATATAATAATAATAATGCTTTATTAGTACAAAAAAATGTTTATAAAACAAAACATATGCCTTAACATAAAATAACGGCATGAATAAAAACCGTCTGCCGAATCGTCAATTAATTTCCAAGATTGTTATATAAAATGGATGAAAAATGAATATACTTGGAAATATACAAACATAGCATTTCGCGAGGATGTACTTACATTGCTTTCGATGATAATTCTGTTGATTAGAGTATTAAATGCTTCAATCCCAATACTCTAACCTCTAAATAATACCAACAACAAATTCAGCATTTAAAAAAACTTATAAATATACAAGTTTAGAACAGCATAAATTAGTTATATCATTCGAAACACTAAACAAATTTTTAAAAAATGACAGGGAAAGGACACCAAAACAGATTGGAAATCAAACAAACCAAACATAATCCAACAAATATTTCTCTAAAACTTACACCATACCAGGCCGCATCTCACGATCTCCGAATAATCATTGACTAACGGTCACTAAACACCACACACTTATTTGTAGTATTATGTAATTGTTTAATTTTTGTGCATTGACTGCTTTGATCGCCTCCAAGGAACTTTTGGAATCCACTATTATTGTTGATTAATCGGAAGTATTTGAGTGGGCTTAAAGTAGGACCTCCTTAATTGCTTGAAGCTCACAGTTAAAGGCTGATGCCTCCTCATCGGGTAAGCTAACCTTTCGTCCATACTTCTTCATTGGGTCATAAAACCAGCATCTCGATTTTCCATCAGCCTTGAACCGTCCGAGTATAGCACAAGAGATTCTATTGAACATAAAGTATTTAATTCTTCTTGAAACAGTTTATTTATTG